ACTCCCCAGGAAAAGACCTGCGGGTTACAGTGGAAAATAAGCTAAATATGATCCAACATTATGCCGTTGTTGCCAAGAAGGCCAACAACGTACTGGGCTGCGTTAGTAGGAGTGTTGCCAGCAGATCAAGGGAAGCAATTATTCCATTCTATTCCGTACTGGTGAAGCCGCATCTGAAGTATGGTGTCCAGTTCTGGGCTCGCTCTGACAGAAAGGATATGGACAAATTGGAAAGAGACTAATGGAGACCCAGAAAAATGGCTAGATGGCTTGGGAATATGACTTGAGGAGAGGCTGAGGGAACTATCATTATTATTTAGTCTGCAGAAGAGAAGGCTGAGGGGAGATTTAATAGCAGCCTTCAACTGCCTGAAGGGTTGTTCCAAAGAGGATGGAGCTAGACTAGTCTCAGTGGTGTTAGATGACAGAACAAGAAGGAATGGACTCAAATTGCAGCCAGGGAAGTTTAGGTTAGATGTTAGGAAAAACTTTCTCACCCGACGGGTAGTAAAGCATTGGAACAGGTTACCCAGAGAGGTTGAGAAGTGTCCATCCTCGGAGGTTTTCAAGACCTGGCTAGACAAAGCTTTGGCTGGGATGATCTAGTTGGAGCTGGTCCTGGTTTGGGCAGGGGCTTGAACTAGATGAGCTCTTGAGGTCCCTTTCAACCCTCATTTTCTATGATTCTATGTTTAATCACCCTTCCAATGGAAAAGTTCTTCCTAATGTCCAACTTAAATTCCCCTTCTTGCCATTTAAGTCTTGTTCACTGCAGCCACAGAGAACAGTTTGTCATCATCCTCTTTAGTTACCCTTCAGGTATTTAAAAACTGTTTTCCAATGCTCCCGCAGTCTTTTCCAACTAAATAATCCCAGATCTTTCAGCCTTTTCTTGTAACTCATGCTTCCTTTTTGTGGATCTCCACTAGACTCTTTCTAACTTGTCCATGTCTGTCTTGAGGTGCAGTGCCCAAAACTGGACCTAGTATTCCAGGTGAAGCCTTACTAATGCTGAATAAAATGGAAGAATCACCTTTCTTGATTTGCACATGATGCTCCTGTTAATACAGCTCAGTATGATTCTGACTCTTTTTGCAATAAGAGCACCCTTGGCTTATCTTCACACTGGCTCTATAAGCCCCAAGTCCATTTCTGCTGTACTGAACTTAATCAGTCATTCCTCCATCTGCATTTGTGCATGTGATTTTTCTGTTCTAAGTGCAGGACTTTGCATTTGTCCTTGTTGAATTTCATTTGCTTAATTTCATACTATGTTACAGTTTATCAAAGTCAGTTTAAATTCTAATCCTATCCTCCCAAGTTTCTGCAGTGTCAGCTGACTTTGTCTTCTGTAGACTTGCGAAGCATGCATTCAGTTCCATTCTCCAAATAATTAGTGAAGATATTAAACAACACTGGACCCAGGGCAGACCCCTGGGTAACACTGCTTGATACCACCTCCCAACTAGACACTGAAATGTCATTGAGATGGTGAGTGCAATGATTCAATCCAATCCTTCTTACAGTATTTTCACCTAGACTGTCAGTAGGCGAAAGAAAAACAATGTCATGGGAGTCCAATGTCAGAAGCCTTGGTAAAGTCAAGGGGTATAGGTTGTAGCCATGTTGGTCTAAGGACATAGGCAGACAAGGTTCTTTGGGTGAATCTGTTATCTTTTATTAAACCAACTCATATAGTTGGAAAAATTCTTCTTAGCAACCTTTTGGGTATAAATACTGTTAGTCAGGCTGAGGAAGTATCTGCAGTTGGTGTGTGCTCTTTGAGCACACACCAACTGCAGATGCGTCCTGGGACATGCTTCCTCAAAATGCACACACCAATTGCAGATGCTTCCTAAGGCTGACGAAGGGTATTTATACCCAAAAGCTTGCTAAGAAGAATTTTCCAACTATTTGAGTTGGTCTAGTAAAAGTTACCAGATTCACCCAAAAAACCTTGTCTGTTTTAGTACAGTCAAAGTATGTCACATCCACTGCTCTTCCCGCATTGACAGATCCTGTCCCCTTTATCCTAGAAGGAAACCAGGTTGATCACTTATGACTTGCTTTTGCTAAAACCACGTTGACTGTTTCTGATCAACTTGTTATCCCGAGTTGCTTAAAAACTGATTCCTTGATGACTGCTCCATGAACTTTCCAGGTATCGAGGTCAAATTGCCCAGTCCGTAATTCCCTAGATCCTTCTCCTTCCCTCTCTTAAAGGTGGGCACTCTGCCTTTTTCCAGTCACCCGGGATCTCGCCTGCCCTCCACAAGTTCTCCGAGGTAACAGCCTTTGGGTCTGAAATGATCTCATTCCATTTCATCAGTGTTCAGGGCTGCATCCCATCTGGCCCTGCTGCTTTGAAAGCAACCAGCTTCCTTAAGTCATTCTTGACCTGTTTTTCCTTGCACTCTGGGCAGACTATCACCTCCCCGATTCTGGCAGCCACCTGTGCTCCTCATCCCAGAGCTGAGCAGATTTGTAAGACTGAAGTAAAAGCAGCACCAAGTACTTCAGTCTTCTCTAGGACCCTGGGGCAGACCCACTTCCACCCCCCTTTCATCCCTGGTCCACCCAAAGTTTAAAACCAACTGCCTGAAAGTGGCAGCAGCATTTTTATTCAGGCAACAGTGAGGGTGTCACTTGGCTCATTATAATCTTCCTGATTCCTTCTAAACTCATCTCTCCACGGGTGTTAAAGATCCTTTTTCCTTTTTTAATGGTCTTAAGGTTCACCATATCAAGCCACTCTCTCCTGCAATTCTGCTGTTTCTTAGTGGCTTGATATGGTGATACCCACCAAGAACTATGATCCTTCCTTGGAAAGGTAGGCCCCTGAGAAAGTAACAGTTTATTTCTTGAGCCAAAAAAAAGGCAAAACAGGGAGAGGAGTGATGGTCAAAGGGAAACGGGGCAAGATGGACCTAGGGTCTATCCTAGTCGGTGGCAGTTCTGTTCTTCAGCATTGGATGTACTGCCACTGTGCTTGAGCAGGCTCGATCTTGCTTTCTGACTCTGAAAGAGACGTATTGAATTTTAATAATGATAGGACTAAAAGAAGCAACATCTTTTGGTCATTTTTGCCTGGCATATTATGTTTGCGAGTACCTGATGTACCCTATAGCAAACGAATGCATGTTCTCATGAAGTTATATTTAGTTTTTTTTGCTTCAGTCTTGACCCAACTAATGCAGTCCTAGGCCCCTTGCGTGTTAGTAAAGCTTATAGTTTCTTTGTGCTGCAAGTGGGAGAGGAACAGTGGGGCGGGGGGGAACCCCTGGTCAGACGCAGGTTCTTTGGGTAGATGTGATATCTTTTTATTAGATCAACTGAGTAGTTGGAAAAATTGTTCTTTGCAAGCTTTCAGGCCCAAACACCTTTTCATGCTTCTAGCTGGCCCTGGAGACCTGCCTCTGTGGCATGTTTAAGGCAACGAGGCCCACTCCCCCCGCCTTTGACATCACCCCAGCCCCCAGGACGTGCCATGCTGGACTCCTGGTGCCTCCCCCAGCAGGGGAGAGCAGCTCCCTGCTGCCTGCAGCCTGCCCAGACATGGCCCTTCCCTGCCCGCCCCACCCGCCCGACCCCCCCCCCCCCGCCCGCTGAGGCAGCCAGCCCAGCCTGCTAGGTTGCTAGGGACGCGCTGCCCGCAACTGCCATGCAGGTACCTGGGGCTGGGGAGTGCCCCCTCAGGCAGGGGGAGCTGCCTTCCCCCCCCCCCCCCAAATGCATGGTGGGAACCAGGGAAGGGCCCTGAGAGAGGCACAAAGTGGGGGGCTGTCCCCCTCCCTGCCACTGGGCAGGGGGTGCCTCCCCACTGCTCCCTGGTCTTGCCTCCTGGGAGAGTCAGGCTGGAAGGGAGCTCAGCCGCTCCCGCTCAGCTCATGGCAGGGTTGTCTGTCTCCCTGCCAGGCCCTTCTGCCCCCTTGGTACTTGCTGGCTTCTGGGGATAATCCTCCTCCCTGTATCATGGTGACAGGCACCTCTCCATCCTGGATTCCTACCTCTGGGGCAACAGCAGTCCCAGGCGACCCTGTGAGAGACCCTGTCTGCACTGGCCTCTGTTTGGAGGCACTTGGGGGTTGAGGAGGCTCCCAGCCGGCCTGCTGTTGCTCTTGGGGTTTGGCCAGTGTGGGTTGGGGGTCCTCACGGCCTCCTGGAACTTGGGAGTGGCACAGAACGAATTACTTGAGTTTGGGGGCGAAAGCTCAGAGAGGTCAATTGTTTCTCAGGACAGGAGCTAGCAGGTCTGTGCAGCCGTCAGCCCTGCTCAGCAAGATGGTCCTGGCTGCCTTGGTTGTGCAGAGATGCCCCCTAAATCACTACGGCAGGGCAAGGCTTGCATTTCTAGCTGAAATGCCCCATTCCGTATCACCTCTCATCTTTCTCTCTGTCAAGATGTCTCTCTTTTTACTTGTTTCTTTGCCATGTCCAGACACCTGCAACTCATTCCTTGCCATCTGCAGCTCCCCACCCACCAGGTCCAGGCATCCAGAGCTCACTCCCTGAGTTAGGGCTTTTCTAGCTCACGCTCTGCTCAATTTGAGTGTCTTCAGCTGATGCCGGTTACTGCGCAGTCATCTAGTACTTGGTTATGCCAGTACTAAATGACTTTGCAATAACCACTGTGCACTCCACTGCTCACGTAGACATGGCCAGCATGTGTCTGATGCTCATGGAGACAGGTTGCACTTCAGGACCCCGTGGTTGCATGTGTGTTATACTGTCCTTCCAGCTGAAAGGGGCTGAGCAGAGATGCTTTCTGAGCTGTCCTCATTGCCCCTGGGAGAGGGACGGTGTACAGATGAGCAACATGAATCCCTGCTGACCAAGTGTGTTCCTGTAAAAGCCTTTTTCTGCAGCAGCTGAATTCAAATAGTGGGAAAGGGATTCCCTCCTTTGTGCTGATCGTTGCTTCCACTGAAAGGAGGCATCTTTCAGCAACAGACCTCAGTGACTTGGGCCTGCTATTCAATTGACGTTTCTTCTTCTTGCAGAAGAATGGGCAGTAAGAAGAAGGAGATATTGCTGCAGGTCAGTATGAGTGGTCTGCACCGCAAATGTGTTTGTAAAGGCAATTTTAATCTTGACTGTAAATACATGGGGAAGATTTGGCCCTTGATTTCTCCAGCTGCTGTCGGCAAAGCTACAGTGCAGGGTCCTCGCTGTTGGCCAGTCTCCCCTGGGGACAGCTGCACAGATGCCCTTAGATTCCTGCCGAGGAGTCGCTAGAGCTGTACCGGTTCTCTTCCTAGAGAGTCTTCCTGGGTGAAGAGTCAAAGCAGTAGGTAATCTTGAGGGTGAGTAGGTAGGTTCAGTCCACTGAGGACACTAATCTCCAGTTAGGCTGTGGTAAGAAAATAGAGAAATGTCTATCATTCCCGTGGTCATCATTCAAGGCATATTAGGTGGGTGTAAGGATCAGGTCTCACCTCTGTCTAAGGCATCAGTGAGATTTGCTGGAATCCCACATCCAGTTATGCCATCTGTACTTCAGAAAGCTTGATACATAAGTCTCCTCTACCTTTTTAACTCGGTATAATTTGTTTACCCGTCGATGATCTAAGATTGCCACGATGAACTTAATTGTGGAATTTCCTAAATGTTTTAATGCTTCCCTTTTGACCTTGTAAAATCTTCTGATTATTGAGTTGTGATGATTATTGCAACAACAATTAACAGCTCATTTTCTTACAATCTAGCCTAGAAATGAAATGTAAATGAATTATGTCTATATAAAAAGGAAGTGCCTGCATCATTCTAGACAAAGAAAATACAACCTACTGACTGTTTGACCTGCTTTGAATCAAACCAATTAACACATTTTCTGATAAATTCTCAAGATAAATAAGTGCTGCTCACAAAGAGTAAGTAAAGGAGCACTGCAAGTTTAGCTAGAATACACAGTCTTGTGTTGACTCCTTGCTCTAAGGGCAAAGTAAAAATCAGCCTTAACTGTGGAAGTGGGATTGAATCTCCATAATTCCACGTTTCAAGAGGTTCTCTGAAGTAGCAGGTGGCTGCACTTTCTGCTAGAGAGAAAGAAAAACTGAAGTGCAAGGTGCCCTCTAGTGCCCCCAGAAACACCAAAGACCTAGCAGCGCATTTAGCTGTCTTTGCTGTCATAGGCTATTGACAAATGTATCTTTTAACCACTTTAACAGAGGAAGAGGAGCTGCCACCTGGGAGTGCACCTCAGCTGTTACAATCTAAAGGTTATGTCCCAATGATCCTGTGGCAATACAAGTGAGCTAAATCTCTCTCTAACTTTAATTGTGGATGGAACAGAGGAAAAGCTGCAGTGATTTTGCTGCACTTGCATTGCCACAGAAGCATGCAGATAGAACAAGGAGCAACAGTCTCAAGTTGCAGCAAGGGAAGTTGAGGTTGGATATGAGAAAAAAACTTGTTCACAAAGAGGGTAGTGAAGCATTGGAACAGGCTATCCAGAGAGGTTGTGAACTCCCCATCCTTTTTAAGACCCAGCTAGACAAAGCATTGGCTGGGATGATCTAGTTGGGGCTGGTCCTGCTTTGAGCAGGGGATTGGACTAGATGTGATCTCCTGTAGTCCCTTCCAACCTTAATTTTCTATGATTCTAACAGCTTAAATTGGTGTCATTTGATACCAATACTATTGTTATGCCTGTCTACATGGACGGATCTAGGATTTTGAAAAAGCGGGTACACCTGATGTGCTGCCTCATCACATATAGCCCAACACATATTTTTCTCCCACCAAAAAGAAACTAGAAACGTTACTAATAAGCTAGGACCCCAGCTATATTGTTCAGTTTAAGACTGACGCAAAAACAAATGTATGTGCATTAATGCATGTGCATTAATTTGCTCTATCCTAGATTATATATAAAAAACACAACAAACTAGGTAAAAAAATATCAAAAGCTGTTGTTTTGATAGTGCTGTAGTCATTAGAATTACATGTGCATTTCTTTCAGATTCATAAAACAAAATCTAGCCTTCTTGAGCATCTTGACAGGGCCTCCGATGTTTCAATGGAAGTTATTTCCACCCCTGAGTTGATATCCACCTGAGTTAACATTTTCATGCCCGAGTTTAATGTTTTTTAGCTAGAGTTAAAAAACAGTCTGCAGGGCTGTGAAGTAGGAGCTACATTGCCAGGAGCAGCTAACAGACAGCAGAATTACAGGCGAAAGGATAGCTTGATTCACGGAACATCGAGATCATTGCAAATGAAGGAACGTCATTCACACCTGTGGAATGAAGAGTTTAGAAGGCATCAGTAGATGATAATGAGCCATGAAGTCCAGGGCTCCCTTGCTGCTGCCACTGCCTGGTAGTTTGTTTTAAACTTGGGTGAAGCAGGAATCAAAAGGGGGTGTGACTGCATCACTGCAACTGCCTCCAGATCCTCCCCTGCCTGTCTATACCTTTAGATCCCTGCACTCAAGCAAGGCAGTAGGTTTTCCTGCATGTAGGCACAATAGATAGCATTTTGTAGGGTGGGAGGGAGACTCCTGCTTTATTCTGTCAGTGCACAGGGTCTCTAACAAGAGCACTTTAAGAAGAAAAAAAGGAAAGCCCCCCCTGGAGAATGGGATCACTGAAACAAGGACTGAGAAGAGTTTTGAAGCTATACATGGCCACTCCAGTCAGTGCATGGAGATTGTGGTTAGCAGTTCCTACTTGAGGTTGCACTAATATTTGTATTTAGAGCTGGAGTTGGACATTTTGGGACCAAAAATCGCACAAATGTCATGAGCTTTGTAGGTCTTTGACTTAATTCTAATGCCAGCAGGTATAACCCTTATTATTATTATTATTATTATTATTATTCCGTAGTCCTCTAGCCATTTTTGTTGCTCTCTGCTGGACTCTCTCCAATTTGTCCACATTCTTTCTGTAGTGGGGGCCCAAAACTCCCCACAGTGCTCCAGATGTGGTCTCACCAATGCCGAATAGAGGGGAAGAATCACTTCTCTTGATCTGCTGGCAACACACCTACTAATGCAGCCCAGTATGCTGTTAGCCTTCTTTGCAACAAGGGCATGCTTTTGGCTCATATTCATAGCTTATTGTCCACTGTAATCTCCAGGTCCTTTTCTGCAGAACTCCTGCTTGGCCAATAATTATTACTGTTGTTATTAATTGTTACTGTTATGTATTAGTTAGGCTGGCAAACTGTAGGTGACTCATCCAACAGCTCCCCAGCAGCTTCTGGTGCATGGTCTCCCCCTTGCAGCTGCACTACACAATCAACCTCATGTTGTACCTCTCTCTCCTCTCACTGTTAAAGCCAACTGTGGGATGATGGATGGAGAACGCGGCAGGAGTTTGCTGGTAGAGGGGGAAAGGAAGTGGATTTTGGTGCCACAGGGAGATGCCAGCTCTGAGTGACCACACTGACCCCAGATTGTGTCCCTACCACAGAGCAGTTGGGAGAGGATAGGCCTTATCCTAGCTGTGGCAGAGATTTCTTGCTATTTGGTATTCTTTTAAAAGTCCTGCTAAAAACAAGCCCCGTACCAAACCACTCTTGCAAGTGTTCTGTGTCAGCATTCCCTATCGTTCTTTGAAGTGAAGCAGTTTTGTAATACAATAAACATAGTGAATGTGTATGGTTTTCTGACTAATGTTCTTAATGTACTTTTATTAAAAAAAAAATGTTAACACAGATTACTATCAATAACCAGGAGCTGTGGGAGGAAATGCTGTGTTTCAAAGGACTGATGGGTAAGGACTTAGCCAATGTTCCAGATTTGCTTATATTTAATTTTAAATTCAGAGCCAGTAAACTATTGAATCTCTGTGAAGTGTACTGGGGGGTGTGGAAGTTGAGTAGCAGATGGCAAAGGTGGTTAGAGTGGATTAGGTCCTCCCATCTGCTTGGTCAACGGAGGGTTGTTAGCTGACAGAGCTGCTTGTCTCGTACATTATCCAGGCCAATCTGAAATGGCTTTCCTCACTTACCTGAGACTGTCCTCTGCACTTTATCAGATATCACTGCTCAGGGATCCTTCCTGGCACTCAGCTGGATCTTTCTTTCACTCAGCTTAGTCTCTAACACTTCCTGTTTATGATTCCTTAGGTCTTTCAAATAGTATTTGCCAATGCCAAGCTCCCAAGGAGGTCTCAGCCCTGAGACTGACCCTAGTGAGAGAGACATCACTCTAGGCAAAGAGAAAATGCTCCTCCTGTTTGTAATGGCTTTCCCCCAAAGCATCCACAGCCCAAAATGACAGCAGCAGAAGCACTGCTTCTGCAGCTTGCTCCCTAATGCTGTCACTAGCTTAGCTTGTTAGATTCAGCTCAACCCAGACCAGAGCTATCAGCTAAAGCCTCTGGCAACTGAGACTGCACTTGAGTACACACAAGTGCCTGGCACCTGAGTTGTCCTGAGGGACCTCTGTGCTCCTCCTTTATCCATGCCTGTAGTCTTGCCTCCACAAGAAGTCCCATCAGTGCAACCTAAATCTGCTCTTAAACTTGTTTTAGTGAAACTGGTGCAGCCCCTTGTGCAGCCGTCCTTAGTTTGGTTGCCAAGGGGCTTATTTCAGTTTAACTCAAGTTTGATACAGCGTGATAAACTGAAATCAGTGCCTTTAATTAAATAAGTTAAAACCACACTGTTGGTTAGATTGAAGCCACCTTTTCCCTCAGACCAGGCCTTAGTCTTGCCTGCCAGGCTGGTGTTGGTCCAGCATAGGAAGCTCCTTGCTGCAGCAAGACGCAACCAAGTGTGAAGGCAAATGGGATTAAGAAAACATCTGCCTCTGTGGAGGTGTAACAGGGACCCACACAGTCTGGCTCTAGACCCACTTGCAGCTTCCATCCCCTGCATTTGGCTTTCATCCCCTGCATGGTTTGGCTCTCCGGCCAAGTCACCAACAGCGCACCCTTGCCAGGTATCAGAATCCCAAATACAGGGCTTCTCCACCCTGGCATTAGGCTGGCCACTGCTCACCCTTCTGGGGGTCTTCCTTCCCTTCTCCTGCTCTCAACTCTGGTCTCTCCTGTGCTCTGCCCCATTCCTCTGACCTCTCCTGCTCACAGGGCTTCCCAGATCACCTGATGGGACAACAGCATAAGCAGCCTCTCACTTTGCTCTTTCAAAGGAGAGATGCTATCCTAACTCAAAGGATGACAGCCCAAGGGAAACCCACATCCTTGGGACCCCAGATAGCTGGGTTTCAGTCCCAGAGCCCCATCTGTCCCGTCCTTCATAGGCCCTCTTCCTGTCCCCCAGCCTTCTGGCTAGTTGCCTGCTCTCTGATAGAGCCCTGACTCCTGCACTTGCTCTCAGTGAGCCCCCCTGCTATCATTTTCATGGTGGGCTAACCCTTATTCACATGCTCTTCCTCTCCCCCCGTCTTCAGTGGCATCTCAGCTCCCTTAAAGGACCAGCTCACTTGGACTGAGAGCAATGCCCAGAGCAAGGGCTGCCTGCTATTGGGGGAAATCCTAACTGCAGGCAAGGACACTGATTTTTCTCTGCTTGAAATGGCAACTTATTTCTAGTGACATTAGACAGACTGCCTTGTGGAGGATGAGGAAGAAAGGGACAGAGCTAACACTGATTTTCTCAATTGCTGAATGCTCTGTGTCTCAGGTTAAATCTTAGCCTAAATGCTGTTTCTCCCCTGGTGTGTGTGTGTGTAAAGGTTAAAAATTATGTGAAGTTGCTGCAGATGTTCACAAGATTTTTTCAGCAACAATTTGCACAGAGCTCATTTGAGCTGTTCAAGATCCACATCCCTCGCTCTTATCACGATATCGTTAGAAAAAGAAGCAAACTGAATGATAAAAAAGTTGTTTTTCAGCCCCACGCAGTTCACTGGGTTTTGGCCCTAAACTGACTCACACTGCGCTCTTTTCTATATCTTTCCTACATTTCTGTTTTGGTCTTGCATTCTGCTAATATGGTGGGGTAACGTTTGAGCTCATATCAAGCAGCCTAGTTTATCTGGGCATTGAACACCTGACCCACACTCCTATTTTGGTGGGTAAATTGTGGGATTTTTCTTCCTGATCAGTTGTGTTCAGAAATGGCCCCTTTTCAATATCCAAATGACCCTGGTCAATCTGATCTGAAACGGCTATGGTCAAAGCTGATTAAAAACCTGCAAAGGCCAAGTTATTTGTATGTGCCTTGCCTAACTAATTCTGAGATATTTCAGTGCTGTTTACCATGATTATACTGCTTCTCCTTCGCAGTTGTTGACGTGTATCAAGCCTGGTGTGGTCCATGCAAAACAGTAGTGAACCTTTTCAGGAAAATAAAGAATGAGCTTGGTGATGACCTTCTGCATTTTGCTGTGGTAAGTAGTAACAGAGAAGCACTGTTTCCTATGTAGCAAATACCTATGGAACCAGCAGCCTGTGAAATGTATTGACTTTCTTTGCAGTATCTGGCTGATGTATCCATGTTGATCTAAGATTTTGAAAAGGGAGATGTAGATGATGCAGTGCATCGTCACATATAACACAACACACATCTTTCTCCAGTGTAAAAGAGACTAGAAGCCTTTCTAACATGCTAGGAGCCCCATATTATTCAGTTAAAGATCAAAGGAAAAGGAAAAACTTCTTTGGAATGTGCATTAATTCACTATATCATATATTGTGTTAAAAAAACCCAAACAAACACCCAAAAACTAGGCAAAAATAATCAAAAGGTATGGTGTCTTTAGTCCTGTTGTCATTAGCATTAAATGTACATCTCTTCTACAGATTCATAAAACAAAATCTAACCTTTTGAGCATCTTGGCAGTCCTTCCAATGATTCAGTGAAAGTTATTTCCACACCTGAGTTCATGTTTCTAGCTAGACTTAACAGTCTTCAGTGCTTTGAAGTAGAAGCTATGTTACCAGGAACAGAACAGCAAAATTGCAGAAGAAAGGCTAGTCTGAGTAGTGGAACCATTAAAGACCATTAAAAAGGAGAGAGGGTTCTTAACACCTGTGAAATGAAGAGTTTAGAAGGAATCAAGTAGATTATAGTGACCCATGAAGTCAATTGGCAGTTTCCTTCATTGCTGCCTGAATAGAAATGCCGCTGCCTCTGCCAGGCAGTGGATTTTAAACTTTGGGTGGAGCAGGAATCAAAGGGGAGTGCAACTGCCCCTGGATGTGTCCGTGCTCCTGTTCTTACTTACGTGAAAGGTTCCCTTGAATTCCATTTACTTAGTTATGACAGTGGGGAAGCTGATATGTGTGAAGACTTGCAGGATTGAGCCCTTATCATTCTGTTTCTTATTCCTTCTCCAAATGGGAAAAGACTTAATGCCTCCCCCTCATTACATTTATAAAAGTAAAGGATTTCTCTCTTAAAATAATGAACACCTCACATCTGAGCCTGAAAGAGAGAGTGGTTTCACCAGTATGGAAAACATATATTTCGGCTTAGCCTCAGCTCTCGGCCAAAAAGAATATGTTACATTCAGATTTACAAGTCAATACTCAATCGTAAGATAGCATTGCCCTGTGCTGTGTCTTGACACAGATGTATGACAACTGTAGTGCGAGAATGCTACATCGGTGAAGAAAAGCATTCAAAAGTTGCAAATGTCCGTGTTAAGGATTTCTGTGTAATTAGAACTTTATTCCAGTCTCAATTCTGAGTGCATTTGTTCCAACCAAATCCTCGATGGACTTCACAATACAAAATCTTCCATCTAGAAACCAGTCAAATTTGTTAGCAGCAATATATGCCTGTCATACCACTTACAACTTCAAGTACTCATAAGTAAGGTAATGAATAGTTGAGAACTAAATAAATGTTACATTGCCTACATAAACATTCTCAAACAGGAAGAAATGCATCTTAGCAAACCTTTCTGGGGAAGGGTTTTATGGTGTCTCATATTTTATCACATTTAGAAATGCACCTTAAACAGAGCAACATGGTCTTATTCAGAGATTGTACAACAAATTTGCCATTGTAAGAATACCAAGTTTGGTTGACAGAGGCCACGGGCAGACATGCTGCTTGAAAAGCTGCAGGTGCTTTTGAAGTACTCCAGACAGTGAGGGTAGATATTAATACCTGAAGAAGTGCTTCAGAAATGGTTGAGATGTTTCAAAGATGACCTGGAAAAAGAGGAACATCTTTGAAGTGCTTCATTTTGAAGAGCTTCCTGAATGTCCACAGCCTCTAACAGTCCTCCAGCATCTCACAATGCTCTGCTCCCTTCTCCCCCAACATAGAGAATGAGGGAGGGGGGGCAGACAGCCAATGAGAGCTGTTCTGTGTGCTTGCTCTCCTTGGGAATCTGAGGATTCCAGAGACTGAAGGTTGAAAGTCATGCAAAGACTCTTGCTCTCCAGCCCATTTGGCTGGAGAGCAGGGATTGCAAGCATTTCAAATGCATGTCTGTTCATGCCCAAAGGTAACTGCATTGATGTCATTGACTTCTTTAAGGGGACAGACTGGCAGAGGTGTAGTTGGGCACCTGGTTCCCAAAGGCTGGTGCCCTGGTTGCACCCCCCCCCCCCCCCCCCCCCCCCCCCCCCCCCAAGATACACTGCTGTAGACCTGTGAACAATTGACCACAGGGTGAAAGGAGGCACAGGGCTTTATGGCATGTTGGCTGCTCCCCAACAACTGCCTGTAGTGGGCACAGGTGATAGAGGGGTAAATTACAATGGGGTTAGCTTCTACTTACCTCAGGGTAAAACTCCACAGGCAAGCTACCAGGGAGCCCTGCTCCTTTTACCCCTATGGTAAATTGTTCGTGTACTTGTACCCTCTGTCATTCAACCTAATGCTACACAATGTTTTGGTGCCACACCAAATTCATCTAGCACACATTAAATGGCTTAATTGGCTGTATGAGGGCCCTCAACATGGTAGGGAATCAACCGTGAGTGAAGGTGCTTCTAGTGGGAGAGGGAGAGACATCATCATCTGAAAGTCAGATATACCAATAACACCATCAGGCAGGCCTGTATGATTTGTATCCTCCTTTCAGTCATTAAAACATGTAATAAATCATTTATGTATTCATATAAGCTAATTACAAGGTTGGAGGCACATCTGATAATGGGGTAATTTAAAGATGGTGCTACTTGACTAAAGAAAGATGATATTTGCTTTTATTAAGATCTCATTATTTTAAATGTCACTAATAATTTCTGCATAGTATAATAAAAACGATTTTTAAGAAGGCTTTTCAGGCCCTCAGACAAAGAGGGCAGATCACATGAAATATTCCTCAGCACTTGTTTTTGGATATGTATGTTTGCTGTTCTGCAGTAGAAGAGGTCAGTATAAATGAATTCTTTCTTTCACATTTTATTTAGGCTGAAGTAGATTCCATCGGTGCTCTGGAAAAATATCAAGGAAAATGTGAACCTACTTTTCTCTTTTATGCAGTGAGTGAAAACAAATTAAATTGGATGCATGGGAGTAAACTTGACTTGCAGCTGAAACATTTCACTTTCAAACTCTATTCCTTATAATACAGTTACTGTCTTTTTCATTGACTAATAAGTAACTGAATGAGAGAGAAATGAAAACGTCTTAGTGAGGGGGGAAAAAGAGTTATGCCAGGTAATTTTAAAATTAAATAAAGGGCGGACAATGTGGAAAGATCCAGGAAATTTGTTTTCTCACACTATGGAGGGTCCATGTTTGTGCTGAATTAGAACTGATGGCTTGTAACAGGGACCTCCTAACCTGGGGGCGGGCAATTATTTTGGGCAGAGGGCCACTTACTGAGTTTTGGCAAGCCATCATGGGCCGCATGACAGGCAGTCCAGGGCAGATAAATACTAATTTTCTAAATTTTTTTAAGGGCCCCGTGGGCTGGATAGAATGGCCTGGCGGGCTGCATCTGGCCCCCGGGCCACATTTTGCCCACCCCTGCCCTAACCCCTGCTACCTAGTAAAGAGGGACAGCACTATATGGCTGCAGAGCTACAGGCAGCAGAAACAGGGCTGCAGAGACACCAACCAGTTTGCTAACTATGTAATGGGGAACCCCTGTCCCGTAGCAGGCAAGGGGGTTTGAGATGAAAAAGGAGAGGCCCCTTTTAAGTAGGGTTGCCAACTTTGACTGAAGCTATTCCGGGAGATTTTTTTTTCCCTCTACACAATGTAATGTCATTAATTGTACTGTTCAACCCGTTCACAATATCAATCTCCCAGATTGCTTTCAATAGTCACCAGGAGATCGATGCTGATTCCAGTAGACTCCTGGTCAAGCTGGGAGGATTGGCAACCCTACTTTTAAGTCTGGACAAGCTGAAGCTGGAAGGGGCTGAGCCTAGGAGCCATATCAGCCCAGTTCCTGGGCTGAGGAGGCTGTCTGGCTCAGACAACAGGAGAAGAAGGGGCTCCCTGTTGGGAAGCAAGGCAGGGAGGATTGCAAAGAGATGTCGTACAGTGTGTGAGGCCAGAGGAGCTGAAGCTGGGGCATAGCCAGTGACTGAAGTGGGGAGGTCTGTGGAAAGGCACCCTAGAGAGCTGGTGCATTTTTGTTAGGATTTGCTGGTGTTTCTTTAGCCACGAGGCGTGGGATGTCTAGTTAGGAGTAGGGAGGCCACTGAAGGGGCCTGGTGTGAGGACGTTATGTGTTCTGTCAATGGAGGGGCACTAGATGGAGACCACCAGGCCCTGGTGGAACCGAGTGGGGCAGAGAGACTGAGTTTGCTCCCAGCCAAGATGCTCAGAAGGGGGTTTGAGCCCAACTGAGAACAGAGAAGCCTTGTAGAGAGACTATGTCATTCATTGGGCTGGATAAGAGGTGGCTCAGTGATGAGAAGGGGGAGAAAGACATCTTTTTCTGAGGGCTGCTTCCCAAATCCCTTGTAGGTAAGATCATGGCAGACAAGTACAGGGTAGTGTCCTAGGAAGTCCTGAGTCACCTGCCAGAGGGTGCCAGAGCCGCGTTGGAGGCAGAAGCCTATTACAGGGCTATCTAGGCCAATACCTCATCTCAAGCATTGTCTAGGACCATCTGGTGTTGGAATCTGCTAAACTGCTATTTTAGAAGAACTCGTCCTCTGGAAGTTTCTTCTTCACCCCGTTCATTAGTTTGGCTCTTGCCCTGAAGCATGAAAGTGCAGATCTTTTCTTAAAGGTGCAATTGCTGTTTGTAACATGAGTGTAGACAGCTTTATATTCCCATCCATTCATTCCACGTGTGGCCACAGCTGTACCACAGACCACCTCACAGACCTGTGCCCATGACAGTGCTGGGCTGGGCTGCCTGTGCCTTGGCCAGGACTGAGGGTGGACAATGCAAAGGAGGAGCTAGATTTGCAGAGCATGCTCTCCTTTGCTCACCCAGACACAGGCACAGTGCCCATCTGTATTGTGATACTGTACGCTTGACTGCTATTGACATGGGTAGCCAGAAGGTGTCACACATGCTGGACCATCTGAATGCTGGGAAAACTATTTTGTGGTACAAGGGTGAGCTTGGCCACTTTGGGATGTCAAGGAAACTTTGGTGGGTCCCTTGTACCAAGTAGCAGGGAAGTTATACATGTTCTCATGCACTGGCCAACACCAGCCTGACTATCCTCTTCTCCTGTAACTACCTCAACAAATGGAAAGAGACCAGGCTGGAAGCAGGGGCACCTCCACCCAGATAAGAATACATCACTAACTCCTCCCTGTGGCAGCACAGCTGGCCCTATGCCACAGCTGGCAAGCTCGGAGGAGCTCCCAGAGTATTGTCTGTGGGGTGGGGACAGTGTGTGAGCCACAGAGTATCTTTATCTGATTCAGCCTGTCTCCCTTATCTTATATTAACCAAGTAGTGCTCATCCTCACAGGCCCCAAGCTAACTCCTGGTGCCTTCAGCTACCACTTTTCCATTTGGTTTGGAGGAGGTTCTCTGTCAGCAATTAAATAAGAATTGGATTTTGCCACATCCCAACACTGGAATTACTAAAAAGTCTAACCAGACAAGGGGCCTAATGTAAAGAGAAGGTGTGTCCCCTGACTAACCAACTTCATTTGATGCCTTTCAGGGAGGAGAATTGGTAGCTGTTGTAAGAGGAGCTAATGCACCGTTGCTGCAGAAAACCATCCTGGAACAGCTAGCAGCAGAAAGGAAGGTCCTAGAGCATGGAGCAGAGCATGTGGTGGTAAGCAGGGGTCTTCATGTGTAGTGTCTGAGGTATGGGCCATAGCACTTCAGGGCCACGTAGGTGGAAATTCAAGAGGGCCCAACCCTGCCTAAGAAGCATAGCTTCCCACAGCCCCTTGCTCCTTGCGTTTCCAGAAGCCCTCTCCGAGCTGGGCTCTGAGGCACTGAGTTGGACTGGAGTTTGTCACGGCCATAACATTTTCTGGATCTGTTTGCCCATTCATTCTTTCAAGGCGCCATCACAACAGGGTTCGTGGCCTGGGTTCCCTGGCATTGGACAGGGCAAAACGCCCCATGCTGCATACTGGGATTTGACTCTGAGGTGACAGTATGGGAGACCCCATGCTGCTCCAGGCTGCATGTTCTCCAACTGTCATTGCCTCTGCACCTAGGACCTGTTGGTTGGGAGCCCCTGATGAAGCTTCACCCAGCTCCTCTGCAGGTGTGTATGTGTGGATCCGCCTCCCCGCAGCTCTGTAATAAAAGGCTGCTTGGTCTGCATTGTGTGATTTCAAGACTCTGAGTTACTGAATGGGGGAGGTGGCTGTCCTCCTTTTAGAGGGGCACCCTGATCTCATATCGGCACAGCCAACAGCCTGCCCAGAGAGCTCCAAAGGACAGTGTGGAGCAGTATGTTCTGCTCTCAGCACTCAATGCAGCTACACAGACCAAAGGTCAGGCTTCATTGCCCTGTCCATGCACACAGGACACTAGACCACACAAAGATGACACAGCACGTTGCTGCCAGCTCACCTGGGCCAGGCCACATAACCTTGACATTACAAGTTTGCATGGTGCAGTGATGCATCTGCTCATGTGTGGATGTGAATATTCAGGATCCCCCTGACAGGATTGAAAGGGAACTGGATCTCTGATCTCACCTGACTCAGGAACTAGTAGGGAGGTAGTGGTAAGTTAGTTCCTCCTCCCCCTCCTAGCCCAGCAGTACAGCCCAGCCACTAGAGGTGGCTGTCAAGAACCTCTCTCTAAAGCCAGATGCAGAGTGGTCCCAGCCCTGCATGGTGAGACTGGTAACAGGTAGCATGAATCTTGCAGTCACTGCTTATTCCATTGTTCTCTTCTCTAGATCAAGGATGAAACCCTCTACAAAGAAGAAAATCCAGCTGCCACTCAGAAAAGAGAACAGGGGGGTGAGCAGGGTAAGTCACCCTGTCCCAAATTGCACAGGGCACACTGAGCCACATGAGCTTGAATCTTGCTGCCTTGGACACTACAGCAGGCTCCTTCAGACACTCCCCACCCCCTGTCAGGCCACAGGGCCTTCCCTCAACCTCTGCGGATTCAGCACATGGGCTGGCATCCCCCACAGCTTTGCAGCACTGTAAAAAGCAAAACATGTCATGAAGGGTACATTTGCCTTTCCCAAACCAGTGACCACATGGAGGACAAGCCCCAGTGTTTCTGCTCTCTGAGGGCCTTTATAGAGGCCAGTCTTGTCTACATCAGGGAGAAGAGGTAATTTGTGATTCTTCTTCATAAAGGCTGGCTTGGAGGCCAAATTATGCTGCTTGGTGAGGCTGTGGTCTTCAGCTCAACCTATGAGCTGCTGCATCAGCAGAGGAGATAGGAATAGACATGCCTATTGGCAGTTATGAGACAACCTGCCCCTGGGGTTTCTCTTTTGTAACTCCTGGCACTAAAAGAGTGGCATGTGCCTTGTCGCATGGCTGTTTATAGTTTCATAGTCTCATGGTAGGATCGGAAGGGACCTGAGCAGATTGTCAAGTCCGACCCCTGCCATGGCGGGAAAGAGAACTGGGGGCAAAGGTGTTCATCCAACCTCCTTTTAAAGACCCACTTTCTTGGAAGTTGGTTCCAGATCCTGGCTGCCCTGAGAGTGAAGTAGCACCTCCTGATGTCTAGCCTGAATCTACCCTCTGCCAGCTTGTGACAATTATTTCTTGTCACTCCTGGGAGTGCTCGGGGGAACAGGGACTCTCCCAGTGCCTGCTGGTCCCCCTTGACTAGTTTGTAAATGGCCACTAGATCCCCCCCTCAGCCTTCTCTTGTGGAGGCTGAACAGGTTCAGGTCCCTTAGCCTCTCCTCATAGGGCCTGCCCTGCTGCCCCTGATCATGTGAGTGGCCCTTCTCTGGACCTTATGTTGTCCACATCCCTCCTGAAGTGCGGTGTCCAGAACTGGATGCAGTACTCCAACTGCGGCCTGACCAGTGTCGCATAGAGGGTGAGGATCACCTCCTTGGACCTGCTTGAGATGCATCTGTGGATGCATGACAAGGTACGGTTGGCCTTCCTGACCACATCCCCACACTGTCAGCCCATGTTCATATTGGCCTCAGTAATGACTCCAAGATCCTTCTCTGCCTCTGCACTGATGAGAAGGGAGTTCCCCAGCCTGTAGGTATGCTGCTGGTTCTTCCCCCCAGGTGCAGTACCTTGCACTTGTCAGTGTTGAAACCCATCCTGTTCTCATCTGCCCACCCCTGTAACCTGTCTAGGTCCGATTGCAGCCTATTCCTTCCTTCTAGCGTGCCCACTTCTCCCCACATCTTAGTGTCGTCTGCAAATTTGAACAGGGTGCTTTTTACCCCTATGTCCAAGTCGCTGATGAAGATGTTGAACAGCGCAGGTCCGAGGACCAAGCCCTGGGGGACCCCCACTGCCCACATCCCTCCAGGTCGAGTAAGACCCATCCACCACCACTCTCTGGGTGCAGCCCTCTAGCTAGTTAGTGACCTATCTGACTGTAGGCATCGACACCACAGTCCCCTAGTTTTTTAATGAGAATGGGGTGAGAGACCGTGTCGAAGGCCTTCCTAAAGTCAAGAAAGATTATATCCACCGTGACACCTGCATCCAAGGATTTGGTGACCTGGTCATAGAAGGCCACCAGGTTGGTCTGACAGGACCTGCCTCTAGTGAACCTGTGTTGGTTGCCCCTAAGCATAGTCTCCCCTGCTGGCCCCTCGTGCACATGTGCCAGGATAATTTTCTCAAAAAGCTTCCCCAGGACTGAGGTAGGACTAACTGGCCTATAGTTTCCTGGGTCCTCCTTCCTCCCTTTTTTGAAAATGGGAACCATGTTGGCCCTTTTCCAGTCCTCTGGCACATCGTCAGAGCACCATGAGTGCTCGTAAACCCGTGCCAGAGGTGCCACAATAACCTCTGCTAGTTCCCTCGGCACTCTGAGGTGGAGATCGTCCTACCTTCCTACCTTTTAGGTCCTACCTTCCACTGAAAATAACCCTATCAAATGTAAATATGGGTGTCCTTCCTTGCCATGGAAGGAATCGCACTGAATTTTTGGCCCCAGAGAGCCGTGAGGTCCACAGGCTGACTGAACAATAATAAACAGCCTTTCTGCTGATCAGTAGTAAATGTGCCACCTATCAGTCCCCTTGAATGTCTTTGCGTTCTTCTGCAGGGGCATGAACAGGGGAATACAATCTCCATCCTCACTGCTCTGCAACCCTCTCTCTTATCCCCTCTCTCCTATCTCCTTTCATAACCAAGAAGCCCTAGTCTTGCTAGGACTCTGATCATTTTGCTATATCTATTGCATTGCTTTTGTGTTGGGTGACCATGCTGCTGTGTGCTATTCCTTACATACCCAAGCTTTTTTGACTGCTGCTGGCCATAAGGGTCACAGAAAATTCTGTGAAGTGTATTAGGATTTCAGAATTTCCCCTCCTATGTGCATTACTTTGCATTTGTCAACACTTGAGTGCTGTCTGCACATTCCCGTCACCCAGATCAGTCCTTTCAAGTTCCTCAAAGGCTTTGCTATAAGAACCAGTCTGGCCTAAGCTGTAGGCCACTAGAGGAGGGCCAGGGAAAGGAGCTAAGAGTCCAAGGAACCTAAACTTAAGGGGAACTCTAGCAGAGTCCAAGTTACAGGGTGAGTTAGGGTTCTAGAGTCGGGGACTAAATTACCTAATTCCAGGGGGAAATCTAGGGGCAGTCCAGATCACGGGATGAATTCAGGTTCTGGAGTCAGAAGCCAAATTACCAAAGCCAAGGAAGGGGAAGGATTTCTTAGGGTGTTTGGACCAACTATGTAGCTGGGATAAAGTTAGATGAGTTTTTGAATGCAAGATTGCCACAGGTGGACTTAAAATGAGGAGGCTGTTCTCTCCAGCAGCAAATTGGGAGGCCCTAAGAGTGGTCAGCTGGTTCATCAGCTGGGGTCAGGCTGCTGTTACAACCTCTGGTTTAGCCAACTGGACAATTAGTTCTGGCTGGGCTGCCTGTTAGGGGCCCTGACATTCTCCAGTTTTAACTTCATTTCATCATTTTGAGTCATCTACAAATGTTGCTGCCATTTCCACTCTGTTAAGAAATTTGGTCAACATCACCTGGCCTACATCAACATCTGGCGACACCCATTGCTGACTTCTAGCCATGTTCAGTTGTGTCCATTTACCCCTTCTCTTCCTTCCATCTCAGCCAGTTTCTGGTGCATAACAGCATTTTGCCTATGACTCCAGTGCCTCTTTGTTTTTCTAATAGCTTTCTGTGATGGGCTTTATCGAAGGCTTTCTGAAAGTACAAACAGATTAAACCCAGCAATGCTAGAACAAAGTAAGTGAGAAATGTTTAAAGAGTGATTTCAAGAAAAAGCCCAGTTATGGGTCATCCAAGTTATGTACCACAGCAGTGCCACAGCACTTTGGATTTTCTATTACCATAGACAGCTTAAGTAAATACTGAAGCATGGGGCTGAGAGAGCAGAAGACTCCTCTATTGTATTGCAAGTTGCTCACTAATGCATTGGCTGAAACATGAACCTTGTGATAAATGGCTGTACAAAGCTATTGGAAGTTGCCGTAAGTTGTATGAGCTTTCTCTTACTTTGCACATTATTAGCCTTCTCTCTTTTTTCCCCCCTGTCTCTGTTAGAGTAACGAGCCCACAGACCTCTGGGGTGGTTTTATCTGTTGCCATCTGGGAAAGGAGGAATCTTACAACTGTTTTCCCTGGTAAACATGCTGCTTGACCTGACAATGTGGATTTGCTCCTTCATCTGGAGGTACCTGCACGTCTCCTAGGGTTTGCGGAATGTGATTAAAAACTGTTCACAGGGTTTGAGGTTTCTGGCACTCTGTTTTCTCCCTGACACGGTTACACTTTGAGCCACGTCCTCCAGCCTGTTTAAAGCCCTAGCAGGTCTGGGAGGCAGCTGAGCCAGAGTGAGGCCTCTGCACCAGGGGAGCCCAGAGGACACCCTTGCTGGTCTCCACAGAGTTTCTTGCAGGTTGTCTAGTGTTGGCTCCCTTTCAGTATGAAGCTGCAGTGCTAACTACAGTGCCAGGGAGTGGCTGGGTAGCTATATCTGCAAGGACGCATACTCCCTGGCCAAAGCCTGGTGGAAGGCCTTGTGACTCACTACCTTATCTCCACACATTGCAAAGAATGGTAACTCTGGTCCAGCCTTGAGCTTGTCATCAGTGACTGTCTCCGGGCAAGCCAGGGCACATCACCTGGAGCCTTATTAAAAAAACACACCCCAAGTGTTTTGCCCAGGGCTTCCCATGCCTGGGCCCAGCATGAGTTGCAAGCATTCTGCATCAGAGCCAGTTGGGGCTTCATTGGGTGCTGAGCAAACAACTGTGAAGCATCTAGACCAGGTGGCCAACCTGGGGCATGAGCAGGGGCAGATCCAGCATTTCCCAAAGGGGTTGTGGGAACAGCAGCCTGCATTGCATCCCCTGCTTCCAGCTCTACCACCCCACCCATGTGGGCAGACTGAGCTGTGGAGCCTCTGGGGACTTGAAGTCCCTAAAGCAGGTGAAAATCCCCCTCCCTTCCTCTTCCTCCTCAGAGGTAGGTCCCTTGCTCTCCTGTTCTCAGCTGCTGCTTTCTCCATTGCTTGAGGTCAGGGAAGTTCTAAAGCCAACTGAGCTGAGCAGGGGGCTGGGGTCAGCTGGGAGAGGGACAGAGGCCCTGTCCAGGCCCAGAGCAGGTGCGGGAAAGGACCCTCATTCATCCCTCACTCCATCTCCAGCTGAGCCCAGCCCCCGCGCTGGCAGCAGGAACAGCTCCTGGGACAGCAGGGAAGGGGCAGAGAGGGTCTGTGGGGTTCAGCCAGGCCTGCCATACGCCACTAGGAGCGATCTGGGGGTCAGCAAGGTGGGAGCACAGAGCACTGCATCTGGGTGGGGTGCAGGGAAGGAGGTCCAGGCGACCTGGAAGGGGAGGGCTGCAGGGCACAGGCTGTGGTGTGAGCCGAGACCTGAAACCAGGGCCGTCCTACATCAGGATCGGGAGAAACTGAAGCAGAGCCAGGAGCCTGGGGCACGAGTAACTGAGACTTGCCAACACAGGCCCAGGCTGTAGATGGGCCCACAAGGGGCGAGCGGCTGCTTCAGCAGTGGAGCTGTGTGCTGGAGCCAGGGGCCGGTCAGTGACCCGGGCGCTTGGCCCAGCCGGGCATGCCTGACCAGAGGCCCTGAGCAGGGCTGTGGCACAGGGCAGGACGGGGTTTCACCCGCTTGAGGGACTTGAGAATGGGGCTGGAGCACAGCACAGGAGCCTTGTGCCTAATGGGGGTGCAGCTGTGCCCCTGCTCTCCCTCTGGCTCTGCCCCGGGGCAGGGAGCGGAAAGCAGAGCAGCAACGCGGTCCCTGCTCTGGGCCAGCGCTCAGCAGTCAGGCTCCCCGCAGGTGCGGCTCACCCCGCCCGGCCTTTGCCCCCTGCCCAATTACTCCGCGGTAAGGGAAGAGCGAGGTGCGTGGCTCGGCCGGCGCCTCCCCCGCGCCAGGGGGCGCTCGTTCGGGCTCCCGGCACTGCACGGCCATGCCCGGCCTGGGCGGTGCGCGCGGCCCCTTCCCCGGCGGTGAGTCCGCGCAGCCCCTGCGCCCCGCCCCGACCGTGACCTGGGGGTGCCCTCCCGCTCATCAGCTCGTGTGTGTGCATGTGCGCGTACCTGTGTGTGTGCGCGCACGCGCCTTTCTCTGTGTGCATGAATGCACCTGTGTGCGCATATCTGTGCATGTATCTGTGTGTGCGCGTAGACCTGTGTGCGCATGCATGTATATCTGTGAGTGTGCATCTGTGTGTGTGGGGGTGTATCTCTGTGCACCTGCATACGTGTGTGTACCTGTGAGCATGTGTTTGTGTTATTTGCATGTGTGTGTATCTGCCTGTGCACACCAGTGTGCGGGTGTGTGTGCAAGAGCTGCCACTGGCGAGCTCAGAGCCCAGGTGTGCCTGGCCCGGGCCGCCGTGGCGTGGGTGCTCGGCCGTGGAGGACAGTCAGGAGCAGCCGCCGGGCCTCGTGTCCCCAGGGGGTGCGCGTTCTGTCCGGGCGAGCTGAGGACGCATCTCCCTTCAGCCCGGCTCTTCCTCCTGTGTGACGCGATGAAGTATCGCTCTGCGGATGGCACCAGGCAGTTACTGTGCTGCCAACCAGGCTAGCACGATGGACGGAAGATGGGCTGGGAAGGTGTATTTGTTTGGGCTAGAGCAGTGCCGTGGCTTCTGTAGTTGGCCAGTGTGGGAAAGAAGACTAAACCACGCTGAGATTGACAGCAGGCTTTGCTCCTCTGCTCCCCACCCCCGCAGCTGCACGGCACTTGTTACAGCACCACGCAGCAACGCTGGCGTTAACCTGCTGCTGTTGGGGCTCTGCGGTTTGAGGGCCCTGAGCATGAGCCTCGCTCTGAGCAGCCTCTTCTGGGGCCTGCTCCTGGTGCTTCTCACTTAGCCCTGTTGTAAAGCAGGAATAGTGCTCTCTGCCTTTGGACTGAATGTACCAAATAAGTATCCGTGTTGGACAGCGGTGTGCGGGCCGGGAGCAACCCGAGCCCTTTTCGCGCTGCACGCGGGCTGTGGCCAGCAGCCCGGGCACACCGGGGCGGAGAGGGAAGGGCTTCGAGCTGGAATTAGGCACGGACGCGTAGCGGTAGTTTAAAAGATTGTTTACTTACACCGAGATGGCAGTGGTGTAGGCTGGAAAACTTGCTTAAGTTGCGGTTACAGACAGGAAAGAAGAGAGGCAGACAAGAGTTCTAAACTCGTGAACTCTAGCCCAATCCGGCTGAAGGCTCTGAACACGCGAGCCCGTCGTGTCAGCCGAAGAAAGTACTCGTCCGGAAGAGCTCTGAATAAACTCACACGAAGTTTGCTAGGCTCCGTGGGTCCTTCTGCTCACTCATTCACACGAAGTTTGCTAGGCTCCGTGGGTCCAGTTCTTTTGCGCGCGGGAAGGGATACGTCTGGATTGCACTCGGTGACGGGGAGAGGCTAGAGGTTGATCAGACCTCCATTGCCTGCTTTAAATGCACTGGGTCCATAAGGATCCGCAGCGCTTAGAGATCTTCACACAGCGTGAAGTCCGTGTGAATAATTTAGAACTGGCCAATAATGGGACCCAAATTAGCATACAAATGGCGGGAACTCTTTGCAACGAGCATTTCTGTGCTGCAACAAAGAAATGCACCCTGCAAAGAAAGCTTCAAATTGGAGGAAAATTCTCCCTTGCACCGGGGTTCTCTTTTGCAGCAGAAAACTCCACCGTGCAAGGAAGCTGCAATTTAGCAGGGACAATTTAGCAGTGCCGAAGCACACAAAAACAAAAATCACACCCTTTGGGTTGTGACAAGCGGCAGGGAGCAGATGCTGAAAGGGAGGCGAACAGGGTCTGACTCTCTTCTTCTGCCTGCAGCCCCCAGCATTGAAGGTCCATGA